GACGCTTTCTCCATTGCCAGCTCAGCAGCATGCCATGGAAAGATTGCACCACCTCATCAGTCACTATCAAATGTGGAATGCAGGGCTTTGCACTTCCTGGAGAGGAAAGCCCTGGTGCTCAGGGTGCAGCTTTGCTCCCCAGGGGTGGCTCCAAGGGCTGCCATCCCTGCAAGGGCAGGAGCTGCTTCTGCCTATGCTGCCCACCCTTGCCTTCCCCAAAAACTTCAGTCAAACCTGGGCTGAAGCTCTTTGCTTCAGCATGTGCATTTCCAGAAAAAAAACAGACATCCAATCACATCCACTCTTCCCCAGCCTTCCTGCAGGTCAGGTTTAGCCCTTGGGAGCCACAGTTAAGGACATTCACAGACATCCCAAGTCACAAATCTCTGCCCCAGTTAGCTAAAACATGATGTTATAAAAACAAAACCACCCCCAAATCTCCGCATTACCTAATGAGATCAGTCTATTCCTTGATGAGCTTGTGCAATGTGCAGTTTCACAGCTCTTCAAAAGCAGTTTATAAAAACATTAATAATAATAACCCATGGATATTCACCGCTCTGTTTTAGTTCCCAGTGAACACTCAGAATTTGCTGCAAAACTGTAAGCAAGATGGGATCTAGTTCTGGGATGGTGTTTTGCACACTTCAAAGGGTGGGAATAAAGATGATGTCTGTTTTGGGGGGCAAGTATTGTAAATATAATAATGTGCATTCAAGCAGTACAACACAACTGCTGTAATAGTTTATATTATTTAAACAACATTTAAAATGGGGGAGCTCAGGATGCCTCTTGAAGTTTGTCACTATCAATTTTAGTCCTAAGGGCACTTTGTGGCATCAAAGGCCTTAATGAAATATTTCCCAAAGCAAATGGGGACTTGGAAAACTTTTATACATGTAGTCTTTGCTGCTGCTCTCAAGAAAATGCCACTTTCCTCACCAGAAATCAAAGACAGGCTAGACTTTTCTTACCAATTTTTCTAAATTATTTCTAATGTTCTAAATTTTTGCTTTCACAGCACAAGTCCTGTGGTGTGACTTTTACTTTAAAACCCTCGGCTCCTGGAGACAAATCTCCTGTCATTCAATGCAAATTTCTGACCTTCACACACTAAAAGAAAAGTGATGGGCTATAATCTAATATGACCCAAAGGTTCAGAAAATTAGAGAACATCCCGAGCTCCAACGCTTATCTTTTAAATTGTATGATTTTTAAATCAATCTACTAATGTGGAGACTGAATTAGGAAAGAGAAAGGGTGGCTTGTGGTGATTTTTCTCCCTTCTACAGCTTTTCTCTTCAGTACTTTAAGAAAATGGTCATGCAATCCATCAGAGTGAGCTGAGGAAAGTGGTGTCAGCCAAAGTCATTGGGTCATGGAAACCTGGGAGCTGCAGCTCTTGAGAGCTCCAGACTGGGGTTGATGTGCCTTGGGAAAGGAAATGCTGGTTACTGTACATCATCTGCTGGCTCTCCTGTTGCCCTCTTCCTCCACGGCTGAACAAATTTGGTTAATTCGTCCCTTATACTTGCTGGAAATGTTGCTCACTGAGGACTGACAACTTTGTTTAATCTTCCTGGGGCTGTGCTCAGAGGCTTGAGCAAGTTGTTACCATGGACAGCTGTAATTTAAACCAGGCAGGCCCTTGTTACTATCAGTCAGCATGGGGCTTGTGCTCAGCTAGGAGAGCCAAAGGAGACAGCTGAGGGAGGAAGAGTGCAGGAAACAGAAGCCTTGTGTGCACAAGCCTTAGCTGGGAGCTGCTGCCTGGGGCAGACTGCACCAAGAAGGAGGAGCTACTGACACTGCTTAGCCCTGACTCAGTGAAATAAGCCTCTAAAGAGGGTGGTATTAGTCCTAACTCCTAAAATGAGATCACTAAGTGCTTACAGGCATCAGTGACATGTGAACAACCAAGGGAGCTCTTACTCCAGGCCTGGTAGGATCTATCTCCACCAGAAATTTATAATGCTCAGAAAAGTCTTATTTCCCTCTGTGCACAGGTAAACACTGATCCCAGGAACCTCAGTGCACTTTAGCAAGAGATTTTGCTGTGGCACGGAGTACCCTTGGCTGTGTGGTGGCCAATGTGGGGATTTTGCCATCTGTCTCCAGCCCCACAGACACCAGCATGTGGCAGCTCAAGTGGAGCACAAAAGAAGAGAAGGTTAGAGGTTTTTTTTGTAAGTACTGTTTTTTCCTGTGTTCCAGCATATAATAAATATATAGTCTCATCTTGTTAGCATCTACTGGTTTTCTTTGTATAATATGGTGTTAAATCTCTGCTGAGTTCTGTGTAAATAACATTTTCTGCTGAGCTCCTGATCAAGCAGAGGCATTGGTTCCAGGCCTGCTGGGGACAATCTCTGGTCCTCTGTTATGGGGTGCAGGACCACACAGCCTGTACTCTCTGCCTATCCCTGTCCCTGTCCCCATCCCTGTCCCTGCACCCCTTCCTGCCCTTGTTTTTGCCAAGAGACCAAACATCACCTCTCCAGCCCAGGCAGAGCAGGGTACCCTGTCCTCCCAACAATACCAAATCTGAGCTGTGGGGGTGGTGGTGTTTTTTGCTGCATAGGTTGGTGTGGATGTTCTCTTCCCCTCCAGAAGGAGATGAATGGAAGAGCTGTTGGGTTAGCACATAATTGGATTTGTCTCTGCTGCAGTGGCCTGAATGGGTGATGGATGGTCCAGCCAGCTGGAAAGGAGGTGCTGTCATCCCCTGCTAACAGACCTCTTGTGCTTTTTCAGAGGGAAGGCGTCTCACCAGGGCATCCTCAAGGAATCTTCTGGAAAAAGGAAGCATTTTGCATGCATCCACAGGGACATCCTCCACACCTGCCCAGCTAAGGACACCAAGGCTTAGAAAACACCAGTTTTACTCAAACCTTCTTGCTCTTCTCCACACACTTCCCAGTATAGTCTTGAGTGCTGGCCAAAATTTATTCCTTCCTTCAGAAACTGCATTTGTTTTAGGCAATCTCAAACACCGTGTTTCAAACTCCTATGTGCTTGACCTGTCCTCAGAGCCACCTCTGATATGCCTGTGTTTCTGCAGCTTGCACTCCAGAAATTTCTGCCGGTCAGATGAGGAGAGAATCTGATCTGCCAGTTTAACTTCCCTCAGATTACTCTGTAGATACCAGTCAAGTTGAAGCTGGCTTGAGCTTCAAGTCAAGTTTGTGGCTTTTAAGAAAAGTGCCAGATGATTCCTGTAGTGTGGCTGGTGATGTTTGGCTGAGCCAGAGAAGATGGGAGATGGAAGATGACAAACCAGATGGGAGAGGGAAGGAGATAAGCCAGGACAAAATGCTGTGGGGCATTTTGCTTCCCGCAGAGCCAAGCACTCCGTACCCTCCATCTTCATTTCCTGGCTTACCTGCTCCCCACAAAGAGCCTGCAAGGACAACATGTTTGATGAGTGGCATTACAAGAAGCCTTTTCAGTTCTCAAGCTCCCCTTTGCTCTCCTCTGCTCACAAGAGTTATGACGACGGCACCAGTGACCACAGATGTATGTGTATGTCAGTTCCCGGCATTCCCCACCCTGTGCGGTCTGTTCTTACATAAGAGTTGGGGAAGATGCTTGACAAAAATATGTTCAACTTAAAGCAATGAAACAGTCTTGATGACATCATTTGCTGAGCAGCTGCAGATAAAGAGCTTGGGTTTGTTTTTTTTCTCCCACAAAAATGGGGTTACACATTCTTCCTACCAGACCCAAGTAAACTCAGTGCTAACACAGCTCATTACTGGGGCAGATGAGGGTGCTTGGGGCACAGAAGGCATGAGCAGCACCAGAATGGCTGTGCCTGCTTCTGCATTCTGCTTGCTTGGCAGTGTCAGCAGTAACCCAGCTGGTGTGCTGATACACCCCCATGCTGCAGGAGGACTTGGCTCCTTTCTTTCCTTAGAAGAAGTGCAAGCAACTGGTTGTGCTGGGCTGTTGAACCTACTCCAGTCTGCTTCTGTTTGCAAAGCAAAACTCCCAGCCTTCCACACAACCACACAACAATGGGAAGAATATAAAAACACTAAATATATATATATAAATCAGAGGAGCAGGCCAAGAGGTGCCTTGAAGGTACTTTCTACAGCTTTTACATTCTACTTGTTGAAACCCTGATGCTCCTAGGCAGATGTGTTGACTTTCCAATATCCAGGCAGCTTTGGTATTTGAGCTGCTAAAATCAGAACCAAGCACTTTCTGAAACAGTAGTGAATTGCTTTGTTTGCCCCGGATTGCTCAGTGTTCCCAGTGCTTCATTGAGCAGTCTTCCTCTGAACTGTGATGTCAAACTTTTCTGGGTGTTATGCCTTTCACCCCCAAGACCCCTGACACACTTGACGGAGAGACGTTCTGATGGTGTTGCATCATTCCTGAAAATTGTAGGTTTTTCTGCAGTAAGAGTAGAATTATATGAAGTATGAAACTTCACTGCTTCTCAAGGGGGCTTGAGAGGTAAGGCATTATTTTACTGGTTGTGGTATCTGATACTTTATAAAGTAGGGAAAGTTGTACTGGAAGCAAGATCCACTGTGAAGATCTAAGTGCTAAAATGAAGATTTTATTGCAGGTGCATTCCTATATCTTCTGTAAATATTTATTTTTGTATAAATATAGAAATATTTTGGTTTTTGCTTAGTGTGCTGGCTTGTGCTTTTTTATTATTTTCAGATTGTTCCCCCATACAGTCTGATAGGTATGCCTTGATTTCTTGCAGCCATTGGCTAACTGCATCATGAGCATCTCTATTGTGTAGAGGAGAACTGAAAACCAGGGTTTGACACAAGGAGAGTGTCAAAGCATGGGTACAGAAGCCAATTTTTCTTCATTTCATTTTGTTGGGAGTGAAAACTGCCTTTATTTTTCAGGAACAGCAAAGTGGTAGTGTTTCTTTTATGACAGTACAAATAATAAAACACTGATTATAGTTAAGAATGTGATTCAAGGAAAAAACCCACTTCAATAGAAATTTGTTTTTATGCTACTGTTTATTTCACAAAAGCTTGCTGAGTCACGTGCTCTGAAGGGTCCCTGAGGGGGAGAGGGATTACATATTCCACACCAAGATGACAGAAAATGCTTTAAATTTTTAGCTTGGGGTTTTTTGAGAACAACTAAATCTTCATTGATTTTTCTAGAGATCAAAGCTGAACATACGTAACTGGAAAGAACAGCCCCAGGGAGAGCAGAAAAAAGAAATTCATGACACTTTACATTGATTTAGCCATTATGTTCCACTGGACAAAGAGCCATTACACATCATTGTCTCCAAAGATGGCCTTGATATTTGCAAGTACTTACACACAATTACAGCTTTAAGTACAGTAACAAGAGATAGAGCTTTGCCCTTCCCTCTTTATCTTTTAAGTCACAAAATTGCACAGTGGTTCTGACTCATCAAAGGGAGCCTGAAGAGGTGGGCAAAGCATCACTATGTTCTCGTTTGTAGGGAAGGTACTAAAAGAATGGAGAGGGAAAAAAACCTTAAACAGCCATGAAGGAGGAAGGCTTTTCCATGCAGATGAGATGCTCCTCTGGGTCTCACTACCTGTTGGGTAGTGAGAACTTCCCAAAATCCTTTTAACTCCCAGTTTCTGGGGGACACATTCAAGGTGTTGCCTGAACATCAAAGAAGAAAATTTTGAATTAGGCTTTACCATTTCCACTTTCACATTTTGGGCAGTGAAACACAACCAAATCAACCAGCTGTTGAATATCTTTGAAGGAATTGTTATATGACTATTAGTTAAGATCCAATCTGTGATTTTAGAGAAGTTGCCACCATCAGATTCTCATGTCATTTTTTGTTTCCAATGGAGAAGGAGTGAATTCAAGTTGCCTCTGACTTGATCAAAATCTTCTCAGGGGTCAGAGGCTGGAACATATCTCCCCAAAGAGCAATACGTTTGCTTCTAGCCCAGAAGACCTGGTTATTCCTAGTTAGGACTTACCTGAATCACTGCTTCTCAAGCTTTTATGCAGGTAGCCTCACATTTATTTTTACTTCTTGATTCCTTTATGGACTTTCAGCTCTATTTCATTTCCAGGATCATGAACAACTTTGTTACTTCCTTACTTCTCACTCCCTTTTTTTGCTGTGGAAGTCTAAGGATATGCTCATGACTTGAAGATAGATCAGTTATCCATATAATGATATAGATTCTGCACAGCTTTGTCCACACTGCTAAACATAGTGGAGACTAGATGAGTTATTTTGGAGACTAAATACTGCTGGAGACATACCCCAGCCTCACTGTCATGCTGCTCTGGGTGTTTACAGCACTCAGGGCTAGTTCTTCTTGTACAAGATTTCTCTTGAAAACAGATAGCTGAAGACATCCAGATTGGAGTCAGGGAATGAGCTCAGAGTATGGACAACTGCTTGGGGGATCCAGTACTTGAGCTGTCTCTCTGGTTCTCTTCTACTCAGTAAAGCAGGTATCCTTTGAAGGCTGCTTGTGCTTGTATACCTTTGGTCCACTTACGTGTTTTTCACGTAAACAGCTGTGGCCCCTGGCCAGCAGACATCTGTGTCTTAGACAGAGGTAGCAAGTTCTTACTGGACAGCCTGGGCTGAGTGTAGAGTCAAGAGCTTGAGTGAGAGTACTGCTGGGGTTCAGTTTCCACCAGGGTAGAAGTCAGAAGACAAGGGAAATCCCAGATTGCCACATCTCCCATCTCCTGATTGACCCCATTCAACCGTGCCCTTCTCTGCAGACTGTACCTGAGAAGGAAGGGATTGATAGATAAATGGATGAATGGATGGGTAGATAGACAGAGAGACAGAAAACATATTTGATGTGTTAATTTCCTGAACCTCTATATTCTCTGGCTTGGTTTCTGTCCTTCTTAGCTCCTCCTGAGCTAGAGCTGTGAGAAAGATGGCAGAAAAAGGAGAGAGTTAAGATAATGTAAAGTTATGGTCACATTGGCCACAGGTGCCTTTGGAATGGATACCACCAAATATGTGGTGTAAGTAGAGTAATGCCTGGATCTAGTCTCCAGGACTTTCTGTCTAGTGGGCAAGTCCCACCAAATTCCATTTGACTCCGTAAAATCAGTAATTGCTGTCCCCAGCAGCGTCATACTCAACCACCTTTTGACCAGCAGTGCTTCCACAGGTACTTCCTAGTAATACACCTGCACTGCACACTTGCCTCCCTCTCTTTTCCAGATAAATGAGGGCTGTATACCTCTGCTTCATTCTGGGGACATTGGTGGGGTGAGCGTGTGGACCCTGGTTATCAAATCACCTTTAGCCAAGGACTATATTTAAGGTCAAACCCTTGCCCATGGCAGTGAGTACACACACTCAGGACACAAAAACAAGAAGCTCCCAGGATATTTTGACCCATTTGATGATGTGATGTATTTGCAGATCTGTGGAACAAAGAGTTGCCCTACACTTTGTCTCCCTAATTGTCCCCTTCAATTACCTGCAGTGGATCCTGTGACACCTCAGCTTGTGTAATTGCCTGAAGGTATATACCTGTAGGGCTGCAGTGCCGCCGAGCTGCTACTCCTCCACCACAGCTATGGAACCCTGCTTTTGTTGGACACTGTGTGATAAAGCCTTCATTCACTCTGTAGTGCTGTTGTTCCTTCCTAAGTGGCTCTTATATTTCCTCTCCCTGAGTGCACTGCTGCAAAATCTTTATAAAAGATAAAAGAGAACTAATTCATTGTTTGCTAACAGCTCCCGCTTGTGAGGCGCTGAACACTCAGGTCTCCAACACTCTTTCATCACTGTGGGTCTGGCTTGGCCCTCTCTGGGGCAAGCAGAACTTTATCTTGATGTGAATTAAGCCTCAGATGCTGAAGATGATATCAATAAGTTAAAAAAGGACAAGCTTGGCATTCAGAAGTATTGTGTAGAAGAGACAGAGGCACACTTGCTTCAGAGCCGGGGATTAGGAAATCTGGTCAGTGGGGCTGATCTTGATGTTGACAGCCATGGGTTACCCTCTCAGAAATGATGCTGTGAATTAGCACACTCTTTTCCTGCTAAGTAATGGTCTCTGTAGTAGAAGAGTCACAATGTGGTTCATGAGCAAGCAATTTAATGTGATATTTTATGAAACTGTAGTAAATTTATCATCACAATCTTCTGAAGGGAGTATTGGGCAGGCAATGACAAAGGCCAAGGAATTGACTGATTTAATTCTTCAGCCTGAGCTGCTTGGCATAACTTTAACTAGAACTGAGGGTTTTGGTATCAGTTCCCTCTCCTGACAGTTCCACCAGCTGTAAGGTTCCTGTGGCAAGCTATCAATCCCTATTTATTCAGATGGCTAGGTGCTTCCTTGGGCAGAGATCTCCTGAGTTCCCAGGTTAGCTTCTAAAGCTTCTTAACATCCATAAGTTCCTGACAAATGGCCTTTGTGCATGTATAGTCGATCTACTGCTTCCCTGACCTTGGAGAACCACTGTTCTAATGTATGTAATGGTTTGAGATGTATCCCTGGCAGTCTTGTTTGCAATTGCTTTGAATAATTCAGTACCAAGATTTGAGAAGGACATCTAGGCAATTTTTAAGGTCCCTTCCAGTTCAAATCTTTCTAAGATTCTGTGATTTCCCTGCAGTTTTCAACTATTTCATCAGACTTAAGTCTACTTTATTGATTGCAAAGCAGGAATGTCCATTGATTTGACTGAATTGGCCTGTTTCATAAACAGCCTGTGGTTTTGGAAGGACCTCTATCTTTTAAGGACTGCTCTGTGTTTTATAGCTTCTCCTGGGCTGCATCCTCCAGCCACTGTTACTAGACCTGCAGCAGTTTGCATGGAGCACCTGCAGAGATGACCCAGTGACTCTGAGACAAGGAACCTGGTAAGATTTTGCTCTCAGCTTCTCTAGTGCACTTCTGCCCATGTGATTTTCTATTTTTTTCTTCTTTCTTCTTTCTTTTTTCTCTTTTTTTTTTTTTTCCCTGTAATTAAGTGTAATCATAATAAATACATCAGGTATAAAACAATCTCCTACCTCATAAAAGGTATCCAGTTAAATTGCCCGTGTTTGCATGGGAGTGTTTTCTTTTTCACTGGCAACATTTCCTTATAAGGAGTAATAATGAAGATTCTGTTAAAGAAAAATGTGTATTGAATGTTTACTATTTCACTGGCTTTCTGTAGAATCATTTACGCAAAGCTGTGAGTCACCAACTGAAGTTCAGTGTCTGAAATTGCTGGCAGAGTAAATTAATTTTGTGCATGAGAGATCAGTAATCTGCATGCATTACAGTCAATTCATAATCGCTTTAAAATCACATGGCAAATGATTATAATTAGGACAGGAGCTGTTCAAATCAAGAACAAAAGAAGGCCAGAACCTAAACCTATTCATTGCTACGTTTCTTCTCCTTGAAGGTTTATGGACGATGTCCCAGCTCCTAACTGGAAAGCACAGTTGAAATCACCACTGCCCCTTCCAGCTGCTGCCGTGTTGTCAGCGAGTTTGGCAGAAATGCTTGTGCAACATTTACTCTTAGTACATGTCACAGAGACCTAGGCATAAAGGCCTAAAATAGGCAGGCCTTGAGAGCAGTAACTTCATTGTCCTGCCTGGATAGTTGAGCCTACCTGGAAAATTGAAATGACCTCTGTCTATGGCTGTTCTGTCTGCTCCACACACAGGCTCTGCAATATCTATCACTACAGACCTTCCACTGAGGGGTTCTCTCTTTAGAAGCAAGGAAGAGTCATCTCTACGTAAAGGGAATATCTCCAAAGGTGAAAGATGCCTCAGGAAAGTACATGTCATTCTTGAAAGAGGTTACTATCCATTAGCCCTTCAGACTGCAGGAGGACTGAGACCAGGGCTAAGTGACTAGGAAAAATCAGAACACAATGAAATCTTGAAAAGAGTTGTTCTGCTGATGGAGGCTAAGACCAGCACAGATACACCCTACCTCCACTCCCTGGCCCCCATACTGATAGTGCAGAGACCGGAGTATGAGCTGTGCCTACACAAGCCCCAGCAGCCTGACTGAGAGCTCTTGACACAGCTCCCATCTCGCTGGTGGTGCAGAGGCACAGCCCCTTCCCTTAGGGTGCTCGGTGCCCCGGTGGGAGATGGCAGATCTCCTGGCAAGGTAAGCAGCTGAGGGAGATGGGGGGACGACCTCGAACACGTGAGGAGGTGATGTGGCACATCAGCACCTGAAATACTACCCAGAGTTTTGAAACTATCAGAGCAAAGACCAGGTTTAAGGGGGACTTCACTGCAAACTGGCTTTTGCCTCTGGGTATCTGTGCTTCACCCATGCACAATGGGTCAGGTGGGAGGCAGCACCCACACAAGTGGTGGGCTGTGGGACAGCATGGCCCCACTGCTACCAGCAGACAAGCTGACAAGCTCCCCCAGACCCATGGGAGGGCAAAACATTCTGAAGATAGATTCATGCAGGAGAAGGATGCTGACTACAAAATGCGTAGGCATAACTGAATCAAAGAAGTGAACTCACCCAGTTTACAGCAGCTGGTACAGATCATCATTTAACTGAATCAGAACAGAGCAAAAGCTTCCTACCCCACAAATCCAGATGAACGTGATTAATTCCTGTGAAATTTTATTATCAAGAGGTTATATTTGGTCTTCATTTGAAGATTTGTGTAAAGGTCTTTTTTTGGCAAGGTCAGCAGTTGTGCTGAGCCTGCTTTTTCACCAGTTTAGAAATCCCCAGCACTCTGTGTACTGTGGCACACACTTATGACACAGAGCTGCTGTTTTGGCAAAGTCAGTGCAAGGAGTGAGACCACGGGCCCTCCCCTGCCTGAGAAGGGAAGCATTACCCACCCCACTGCTGCTGTATGCAGAGTTGAAAGACCCATTGCTTGCTGAGATGCCAAGACTCTGGAATCTCAGTGTCATTTCTGTTCTTAACCACAACTTCTATCAAAAACATACACACAAGAGAGGCCTATTATTTTCTCTTCACAGGTGAGGGAGAAATAATATCAGCTGGCAGTTGCTGCTGCCAGAAAAGAAATGAATCTTCATGCTGGGAGGCTGCTGAAGTCCCTCAAGCAAGAAAGTTTTCTCTCTTCTAATGACTCCTGGATGACCCAGCAAACCCTCTTACCTGATAGCCTGCAGTTTACATGAGAATTGATGCAGGATTTCTCTAATGTGTGTTTAAGATGAGATTGATCTGAGGAAGGATCCTTGCTTCTCTTGCTAAAGCTCTGACCAGAAGGACTTTCTCCAAGCGACATATTCTAGATCACACCATTCTTTTGCTCTCAGCAAGCCAAGGCAGACAATGCTCCTGCCAGGTTTTTTCTTCCTTCTTCCATGCCCTCCATAGTAAGGGAACAAGAATGGCTAATTCTTGCCTGCATGAGGCTGACCCTCTTCTTTTCCTAAAATTACAACACTCTCAGATGTCTTGGTGGAGAATTAATAGCTGTCTTGAATAGCGCAAGAAGCTCCAAGGCCCAGAGACACCATATTTAAGACTAACAACCAAGCATGCTGTCTTGCCCAGATTTTACCTCCCTTTCAGCTATACAAGAACTAGAGAAAAGAAACTCCAGCAGGATCAGTGCATTTTCACTGATAACAAATCCAGAGAATGCAGGATCCAGACTGGTACTCTTTCAAGACATACGCGAGTCACTACAGCTGTTCCAGGACACGAAATGTTTGGAGTGATGACCAGAGGTCAAGGTGCCTTCGTTCTGATGCAGCTCAGCAGCAGTGAGGCTGTACAATGTGCACCATCTTGGCAGAGAAAGCTGACAGGACAGCTATGGAGACATTGTTGGTTAGGATATTTATCATATCCTAACTAACAATGTCTCCATATAAATATATGTGCTGTCAATCACTAGTGTAAAACCAGATGTTGTGAGCTTGCATTTGCGGCTAGCCAGCTGAGAAAGTGACAAATCCTTCATCTGCAGAAATAAGAGAGTTTGGCATAAAGATCTTTCTTTAGAAATGGTAAGGAAGAAGACTGATGTGTCTCAGCTGATTGGCTAAGAGCAGGCTAAGACCAAGGGAACAATGAACCTGAGATCAAAATCACAAAGTAAAAAGAGGCAATTTAGACTTAGGGTGCTTTGAATTGGTGATTTGTAAATAATTAAGATGATCCTTAATGGGTTGTAATAATGTTTTTATACATCCCCAGATAAATGTAAAAGAGTCTGGCTATCAATTCAGCCTTTGCACACATATCATGCTCTGTAAAACCTTCAAGTGCCATGCTGAAAGGGGGCTACACAAAGGCTTCGGAAAGTCAGTCCTCTGAACAGCTCCTGAGCTGAGCAAAGGGAACAGATGGGAGTGGCTGGCTACCAACTCACCCTTCTGCCATGAAGATGATCTGTGAGCTCTGAAGTCAGCTTCACATGTCCTAAAGAATTGTGATTGGGGTGATTGCTTATTGCTGGGATCACATAGCTATCATTTAGGACCAGAAAGGCTCTTTCCATTGTGGTTGTATAAAGTCCTGCTATGTTTCTCAAGCCTCCCTTGCAAGCCAGATGATGCATCACATATATTACACCCTATGTGCTTTTTTTCCTCTTCTTTTTGCAAAAAAAAATATTATAGCTTTAGAGCAAGATTAGTCTTTGATGAAGTGTGGTAGTTCTGGAAGAGGGAAGAAGTAGCTTTCAACTAAAACTCACAAGCTTGTATGATCCTTGTTCATCTACTGGAGAGACCAACAAACAGCATAACAGGCACAGACAATGAGTTTCAACACACTGTCTGTAACAGGCAGGTACTTGTGAAGTTTAGCCATGTTAACAGCATGCACTGGTAGCTGGACTTTGTTTTCCTCCAGAGCAGAACAGAAATCTGCACTACAAATTAATGGGATGGGATATCTACACCCCATGTGACAGCAGCTTAGCAAATGTTCAGAGGGGCTTCTTTGAACAATCTCAGCTGCATCCTTCAAGTCAGTTGAGTGTGGCTCAAGCAAACTTGGGCAGGACATGCCATTATTCAGAGAAATATCAAGGCTGTGATGGGCTGAGGAGCAAGGAAGTGGCAAGAAATGCTGGACTTTGAAGGCTGAATCTGACTTCATTTTTTTACTTCCTTTTGATTAGGGAGAAGATGGTTATGAAAAAGAAAGCCAAGAAGTAGCCAGACTGGAGAAGGTCTATTGAACCACTGGATATCAGAGTTCAGTTGGACTCTTACTTGACAGAGAGGAGGTGAGATATCAAGAATCATGGAGATATTTGTCAAGGAACACATCTCATGAACACATCTTATCTTGCAGATGTTCCTAACATCTGCCTCTTCATACTTGGTGCCGAAAAGAAGATTCCTCAAGGATAAATATTATTAACCAAATAGTGGTATGGATTCTCAAAAGGAAGGTTCCCACCAGAGCATTATCTGTTGTGGAAGAAGATGCAACTCCAGATGTTTATTCAATAGGCACACCATTAGAAAAAGCACAGTGCTCAAATAGCCAGGTTGCTTTATGCAGCATCATGAATTACTAGTCTGAGTTATACAGACTTACAGTCAACCTCCCTGTCTCGTGCCAGCAAACTTTCCAGTCTCACATACCAACATAGTTCATGTGCAGGGTAGACTTATTGAATTTCCCTCAGCTAGAGACTGCCCAGCCTCATTCGTTTTAATTTTAGGTTTTCTTGGGTGGTAAAGGTGCAGATTCCTACATTTTTGAAGTATGCTTAAGCAATATCCAGGAAATTGATGCATATCTGTACGTGCTCTAGTGTTAACTAAATGGTCCTTAAGAAATAGGCAGCAGATGTCTTAAGGTAGAAAACCCCAGCATTTCACAAACAGTCTCAAGTTCTGTTTATTTAAAGAATGTACTTAATAAGTCCATTGTGAATATAATCATAAATAAAGTAAAATGGATGCATTTGCCATGACACTTTTAGCTGGAACTCTTCCGGATTTTGTTTTCTTTGGAGTTCTGTAAGAGCTGAAGACTCAAAAGGTGACCTTCATAACTCATTAATCATCACAAAGCAGTTCCTTGAGGGAAAGAAATATGAAAGGTATGTGCAGTGCCAAAAGAGGGCGGCTTGATTCACAGCAGATTTGAGAGTCTGGGCTCTGAGCCAGAGGAGAAGAGAAATGTTAAAGAAATGGCCCATCCAGTCCCCAGGTGCATGGTGGGTCCATCCAGCCTGGTGTGCATGGTTGTTCCCCCTCTGGCCTGCCTGTTCCTTCTACCCTGACACCTCCTGTTGGCTCTGCAGAGGTCAGGGCTCACCTCTTTTGGCAACTCAGTTCTGTGGTATGGTGGCTTGGCTTGTTACTCCAGCTATGGCTCAGATCTAACACCATCACCTCTGCCAGAGACTGTCCTTACCTTGCTTTTCACTAGTATAGATTGTCTTCTCCTGGGCCTCTTTTTGGTCTCTGGATACACCTATGCAGCTAAACCAGGAAGGGACAGGATATGAACCTTCACCACTGGCCTGCAGCTGTTCTGGTGGAATACTTGGCACACCCCCAGCATGGTTTTTGGCCCCAGCAGCCACCCTTTGGTGCAGCAAACACCCAGGCACAGTTCAGCTCCCAGGAGACTCTATGCACATACAAGTGCCATGGACTGTATGGCTCTACACCTGAGCTGTAGGCAGGTTATCCAAACAAATGCACACTGCCATGGGCATGTTCACTTCACACATACAGTTTCAGCCAGTGGGGTTCATCCCTCTGCAGTCCCCTCACACTTGGTTGCTCTACAATCTATTCTAGGTCAAAAGAAGAGTCAAAAGGAGCAACCGGGCATCCCAGAAGAAAATTTCCTTGGGCTCAACAACACAAGATTTGTGAGATCTCAACTCATGAAAAAATAATCCTGACAGACAGAAGAGCCCATGTCTACCATCACCCCAGAGGTGAGACTCGCCATGTGGGTGTTTCAAGGGACCCAGTTAATTGCTCCACCAGTGCTGGCA